TTTATTTATTTATTTATTTATTTATTTATTTATTTATTTATTTATTTTATTTAAAAAATTCATATAGATATTATATGCAGAGATTTGAATACATGTATATGTCATTACCTTCTTCAGAATTCCTCACAACTGCAAATGTGATTTGATCTAAAAAATTGAAATTGTGAACGATGGAATATGCTATTTGCAATTAGAGTAATTTGTATCTAATTTTCTTTAATCATTTTAGTTTCCAATGAGTTAAGTATTTTAACTAAATTTATCTTTTCCCTATCCACATTTTTTCATCCATTATTTTTGCATAATTATTATAGTAAGTTATTGTCTGCCTGAATTTTCCTCTCAAAAGAAGAAATTAGTCAATTTTTTGTAAAAGAATCTTTTATTATCTATATGACTTTTTCTCTACTGTCATGGAACAATTTTGAATGGATAAATTTGATCATACATGTTCGATTATAATTTTTAAAATGCTAATTTTAACATCCAGCGAATTATATTCTGCCAGGAGATTGTTTGGGCTGCGATCACTCCGAAAACCAGATATTTATCACCGAAATTTGTTCACACTCAACCTTCATACCAGTTAATTTTGTGTCAGTAATCAAATTATTTAACTTGTTCATTTTTCTCCAATGAAACGATGCTAGTAGATCTGGTCGGTGCTCAGTAATTTTATTTACATAAATGAAACAATTTGTTTATTTTCTTGTTGTAAATGTATGTTCTATAATTTTCAGCTTAGTTAAAGAGAAGCGAATAGTTTGCGTTACATTTCCAGCATTCTTTTTTTGCAAACGATCAAAAAAACATTGTCATAGTAATAGCGAAAGAATCAATCGATTCATTTAAACATGACAAAAAAAGGAGTAGTAAAAACAAATTTTAAAGCACGAGTAGATAGTGTTGGAACAAAAGGCACAAAAAACAGAAAAACAGGGAGAACGAAAGAATGTGGTGCAATTGGCTGCCGTTTCTTCTTCTACACTTTTATTTTTGCTCTATGCAACAAATATTTCGAGAAACAAGAAGGTGAAGAGTATTTGAAGCCGAGAAGGCAATGAAGGATGATGAGATTAGCTGAGAAGTTGCTTTGCAACGGGACAACTGTTGCTTACTTATTTGCACGTGTACATTCTTATTTTTTACTTTTTTACTTGCTTACTTACATGCCTAGTCATTACTGTAGAAAAAATAAATGAATTATTAACTATATTCTTTCTCAGCAGTCATCCTTATGTTTCTGTAGCAACTTAACGAAATCACCAGTCATTTAGTTGATTTCTTTTTCAGAACTTTTATCAAAGTTTTCCGATGTAAAATATGCTGCAGTAATTGACAGCAACCATTGATAGTTGGATTTTTACAAATTTCTGTCTGTTCTTTGATTTTACTTTTTGTTTTATGTGCTTGGGACACCAAATTTATGGATCGTTAACGCTTTGTTTGAGTTATTTGATAAGAAATTATAAATAATATTACAGATGTCACGGTCTTCAACACCACAAAGGCGTTTATCACGCACATTATCAAACACAAAAGTTGTCAAGGAACTTTCCGTAAATTTTTTCGATAAAATTTATTTGGTTTTTGGATCAGCTCAATAATATAATTTTGGCGGTAGTTGTGTAAAGTAGTGAATAATTTTGAGACAGTATCATGATTAGAGAGAACTCTTGGAGCATTTTAGAATTTTGAAAAAACAGTCGCACAAATGGATCATGGAGAACAAGCAAAGCGTGAGGGTCGTTTTGTATTCGAATGCTCCTGGGAAGTTGCAAATAAAAGTAATCATTTATTTTATAAATCCAGACTAAATAAATATGTGTGGTTCATATAGCATCTGTGAGAAATATCTCAGATTTATCTTTCAAGAGAATGTTGTTGACTGAAATATCAGAAATTGACTAGAATATCAAACATGTTCAAAAGTTGGTGAGACAAGTTCATTCCATTTATAGTTGGTGGAATATACACAGTTTTGCGAACAAAAGCATCAGTGACGACAGACGAATTAGGTGATCAGTACTGCATGTTGGGACCATATAATGAGGAACGAGTAAAGCTAGAAGTATCTTAATCCTTAGTATTGATGTGTCTTACAGTAATACTGTTTGTTTCAGTTTTAATGTTTTTGTTCAATTTTAGGTTGAAATCCTACAGCCCGATGCTACACCACTCAGATATGCTTTAGATCAATTGAAAGACATGGGCTTTCAGGTACCTTTGTCTTATAGCTCTATTTTTTACTCGCTACTACTTTTTTTCATTTCTATATTGCACTACTAATATGTAATAAATTTTCGCTAATATACTCTTCTACTTTTTAAGGCCAGTTATGGTCGATGGCTAATCGATGGTTATCCTAAGGTAGTACTGTTTGATATAGTTTCAGCAGCTTGGAAATTAGATCAGTGGAAACAAGAGGTATCTTAAAACGTTTCTTTAATAAAGAGCCAAATATGTGGTCTTTGCTACATGTAAAATATATTTAAGCACATCTTCTATTGTGCAGATTTGAGGACATCACCATCAGTCAACCTATGAATTGGGTGATAGAAATGCAGATAAATTCTTGTTAGTGAGCAATTTTTTAAGTGATATTTTAAATCATCAGTGAAACTTTGCGTTAATGATTTTGAAAATTTCGACTAAAAATTCATCCTAGAAAGTTTCAGCTGTGGGATTCATGTAAAATCGGAATACCTTACCATGACAAAGAATCAAATGATGCAGTTATACTGGGTTTTATGGTTGCAATATTCATCCAAAAGGTGATTTTGAACCGGAGATTTAATTAGACAACTTTTATCAGTGTGTACGCTTCAAGACTTTGAGCTGAGTAACTGATCAATTACAAGTGAATGCATTTTTTTTGTAGTATTTGTACGCAATAGAGGGTTATCAACCATTATGTGTTGCACATTTCCATGAATGGCAAGCTGGCATCGGTCTAATTTTATCCAGGTATTAATTGTTATCGCTTTTTACAATAAAATGACATATAAAATTTTTTTTTCATGGGAAAAAACTAGTTATACTCAACAATTTTTTAATGTTTATAAATCTGAAGTAGAAGTTAGAAACTATAGGTTGTGGAGAACAGATGTTTCGACAGTCTTTACTACACATGCTACTTTGATTGGCAGGTATCTGTGTGCTTCAGGAGTTGACTTGTACAACAACATCAGTCAGGTTAGAATTAGTTTTCGTAACATAAATAATAATCAGATCAGAAAATGAAATTGCATGTAACCAAATATTTGAAGCTCATAATCAGTGATTCCTTATGACTATACATTTATTTGCTGATTTTGATTTACCAGATTTGTCGCATTACATCAAATTTAAGATTACTTGAGAGGAATAATAATTTCAACCACTAAAATCTATAGTTAAAAAATAATTTTCTTCTTTCAATTCGTGAGTTTGCGATTTTGAAGATTTATAAGTTTTTGTGATTGAAAGTTTATTTTTCTTTACAAAAAGGGTGAACTTTGAAAAATAGTGAATAGTGCTTCTGAAAATGCGAAAGGAACACTTTTAATGAATGAATGAGCATTACTAGGCAAAGAAAATACAAACTGTGTTCTTTTCTTATGATCCGTTTATAATCGTGATAATCTGATATGAACGAAAAATTTGAAGCTTATACAAAAATAATAATAAAGATTTTTAGTTCGATGTCGATCGAGAAGCAGGAACACGCCAAATTTATCATAGATATTGTATTGAAAGAGCAGCAACTAATATGGCTCATATCTTCACAACTGTAAGGTAGCAAGTTTTCAAGAACTTCTTACGAATATAGCGAAAACCATTCTGTAATGTTCAGAATTAGTTATCACATTTTAAAGCATTAACCGACATTTGGCAGCATCTTGAAAATCATCTTTTTATTTGCTAAATTAGATCTAATGAAAAGTTTGGCGGCTTGAATATCAGGAATTAAGATTAGAGTGGTTCTTAAAATTGATCAAGCTTTATTTTTGTGGTTCTGTTCCCTTATTCCCAAATGGTATTTCCTCATTTTTTTTCTATATATTAAATCATATGAATTGTTGAGTTAGTATGTTTCAATGATTAAGTCTTTGCGAAAATTTTTTATTACTCATGAATTTGTTTGCAGTGAAATAACAGGTCTAGAATCAACGCACTTAATAAAGAGAAAGCCAGATATGTTGACTCCAAATGGTCTAAATGTTATCAAGTTTGCAGCTATTCATGAATTTCAGAATCTACATTCAATTGCTAAAGAAAAAATACATGATTTCATTCGTGGACACTTTTACGGGTTTGCCATTTTCCGAAAATGATGATAGTACAACAGCATGCATTGCACAGAATTTAAACTTTGAAATAATTTATAGTTTTCTATAATTTTTTCCAATAATCAGTAGTGTTTTACCTATGAAAATATATTAAAGTAAATTTTATAAAAGCATATGTAAGAAAAAGGAAGGAGTTATCTTTTGTTGGTGCTGCTGAATATATTGCTTTAACCATTTATCCTCGAGTTTCAAAAATCATTGTTATACATCCTAATCTTTCAGAAATATAGTATTAATTTATGATTATAATTTTAACTTCGTGTAATTTGAGACATTATGACTTTGATTTGGATAAAACGATTTATTTGTTCACGGCTGGACGTTATGAGTTTACAAATAAAGGAGGTGACTTTTTCATTGAAGCTTTGGCACGACTGAATTATCTTCTGAAGGTAAGTATTACTGTAATCGGACGTCATAGATCAAAATTTAGTCTTTCAATACAGAATTTTTATTTTTTATAAATTTTTAGCAATGTGATTGAAGAAGATATTTTAATTAATTGCATGAAAAACTTCACAGTAGACGCCATTTAATTAAAATTTTCATAGAAAATACTTTAAAGCCATAAATATTCAATAACACTGCATCATAATGCAAATATTATTCATTAATTGAGCTTGAAATTCATCTGTTTATCTTTTCGTTTTTCTTTTCTTGAACATAAGTGATCATTTAGTGTTACCCTTTATTTCTTACTTCTAAACTCTTACTATACAAACTATAAAAATCATAATTAGTAATCTCTTGTTACTTTATTGTGTTCTTCTTAACACAACTACTTCACTACTTTTTGATTTTGTATTTTTATTTTCAAAATAAAATTTTTGACTGATTTTGTTTTAGCAGAGTGATTAGTGTAATTTAGGATGAAAAGTTTAAAATAGACTTCAAAATTATGCAAAATGGAATAGATGCGTGATTGTTTCCATTTAAAATATACAAAATGTTGCATTTTATAATGCAATTCACGATCATAACTGAACAGAATGCGAGAGTCGGAACGACAAGTCGACATTTATAATTGTAGTTCCTTCATGACTTACTGTTTCCAGTTTATATGAAATCCTTGCAATAAATATTTGCTCATTGCCGGCAGCAAGCAAGCATCTATTGCACGGATATATGAAGTTTTTCTGAGCTAACAACATCTGCATTATGATATTGAATAATTGGTGTTAGAATACAAATTTTGCTAATAAAATAAAGGATAGGTAGATTCATCTCTATGAAACGCTTCTTTGTAGATAAGATCATACAAAATTGCGTTTCGTCTCATTGTTTCTTCCCATTCAAGATTTATGACAACTACTTTATTCAACAGATCGTAAAAACAAACTTATTAGGAATATTTTTGAGAGTATGAAATTGTAGTCAGAAGCGCAGTTTCTGGAAATTTCTGACGGTCCAAAAAAATGAATTCAGAAGTAGATACAAATCCAAATTAACATTGTAACTTAATATTTTTGTTCAGAAAAAATACCCGATATAGTAACATTATTGAATCCATATAAAAACGTTATCAAATATATTTTTATCTTCATTATATTTGAAGTTATGAGTGTTAGTTGTATCAATATGCATGGTAGGGAATATTGTTATTGTCGTAAACATTCCATATTCATTTGTCGATGTAGATCAAATTTCTAGTTTTTCACTTTCATCTAAGTTTTATGTAATATCTGTTTCATGAATGTACAATTTTAGCTATAATTATGATGATAACTATAAAAAAGATGCCTATGCTTGAAATCAATCTATCAGTGTTTCTTACACTGCAATTAAACAAGTTGACAAGCTAATATATCTGTGAAAAAATATAACAAGATATATTTTTGGTAGGAAATGAAGCAGACGTGAATTTCTGATTTTTAAAGAAATTTCTTCTCTATTTTTTTCTTAATCTTTAAATTTTAGACTTCAACTGATCCTCGTTGTAAAGATGTCACAGTAGTTGCATTTATCATTTATCCTGCTGCTGCCAATTCTTTCAACGTAGAATCTCTGAAGGGTCAAGCAGTATGCAAACAATTACATAGTACTGTGTCCAGGATAAAAGAAAATTTGGCATCGAGAATGTTTGAAGCTTGTCTAAAGTTTGTTTCATTATTCTAATTTACAGACTTGTTAAAATGGCATAAATTGCAAGTTAAAATTTCATGCCTTCATTTTTCTATGTTAAAAAGAAAATAATCAAAAAATAAAAACACTTCTTTATACTTCAAAAAATAGATTGCATGTTGCACAAGCCGGTTCTTTCAACATAAAAGGTCAACCAGTGTTTGCATAGTACTATCTTCAGAATAATGAGAAACCTAAAATTTGTAGTTTTTAGGCATGCTAAGGACCGAATAAAAACAAATTTGATGAGAGAAGATGAAGAAAGTGAAATAAAGAAGCAAAATATTTTTGGATAAAAATTTTTTAAATAAAAATACTGATAAGACAAGTTTTAAACCATATACTGTTTTGATTTTTCTGCTGTTAGCATGAAAACAAACTTGTCAGGGGTCGCATACCGGAAATGGATGAATTACTTCTTGCAGATGAACGCATTCAATTGAAACGTTGCATATTGAGCGCAAAGGTGATCCTAATCTTCAAGTTTCATTTCACGTGTAACATAGAATGATCAATTGTCGCATAGCGTTTTATGGAGTCAAATCATGAAAATAATAGAGCTCTTTCTTGAGTTCCATGAAGATAGGAATTACTTAGCTACTACAAATATGAAAATCGTTTTACAATAAGTTTTAGCCAGCTATTGTCGATTGTTTATTTAGCGCGATACGTTACCTCCGATTTGTACTCACAATATGCTTGATGATAGTGGTGATCCAGTTTTAAATGCTTTTCGACGTACTCAGCTCATCAACCAACCACACGACCGCGTGAAAGTATTTTTCAGTCCGCTTGTATACTGTTTTAACATTAAGATAAAAAAAATAACTTTAGTCATATGGAAATTATTTTAAAGCCACCTTGTTGTGTTGAAGGTGATATTCCATCCAGAATTTTTGTCATCTGTTTCGCCTTTAATGAATTTGGATTATGAAGATTTTGTTCGAGGTTGTCATTTGGGGGTTTTTCCAAGCTATTACGAACCATGGGGATATACTCCAGGTTTGTATTTGTGCACAACTGAAAACATGCTCAACTTCCAAAATTTATATCCTCATTACTTTTATTTACTAGAGCTTACAAAAGCTGTTATAATGTTTTATGTGATAATAAATTATGATAATAAATTTGTTCCAGCTACAATAATAAATTGATAATGAATTTGTTGCAGCTGAATGTACAGTAATGGGAGTTCCATCAGTCACAACTAATCTATCAGGTTTCGGATGTTTTATCCAAGAGCAAGTTCAAGATCCACAAACATTTGGCATTTTTGTCATAGACCGCCGTTTTAAAGGGCCGAATGAATCTATTGATGAACTTGCAAAAACTCTTTATGATTTCACGTCAGTTAATACATTTTGTTCTGCTTTATGAATTGAATAATTTTTAGTATAGTCATTTTTGAAGCATTCATTTTTTGCTAACTGCTTTCTATTTGTCATAATTATAAACAGGTTATAGACTGCTTTCTCGTCGTCAGCGTATCATAATGAGGAATCGAACAGAACGACTCAGTGAACTGTTAGATTGGAAAACTCTTGGCAGTGTGAGCTCACTCATTTTTTGGTTTTACATCATTGGACAATCAAAAGCACCATAATTATAAAAAACTATAGCACTGGTTGCGATTAATTTTAATTTGAGATTAAATTTAATGAATAATAAAGCGAATAAAAAAGTTTTCTGAAAAATTAAAAAATTACAGTTTTATCGGGAAGCACGCAGAAAAGCACTGGAAGTAACCCATCCCAATTTTATGCAAGTAATTGAAGAAACAGTTAAAAAAATGCCTCGCCCAACTTCGGCACCTTCTACACCGGTAACTAGTCGATCGACTTCTCCTCATGATACTGATGAGTCTGATACTGAGGAACAAGAAGCATTTGAGGCAAGAGCATGGATAGAGGTCAACTAGATCATCAGTTGTAATCAACTGTTTAAAGCTTAAAATAATTTTAAAATAATGATTTTGTTGTTTATTATTGTTATTTTTGAAAAAGTGTCAGGTATGTTCTTAGTCCTTTTGCTTACCAACAAATTTTTAAGGTTTCTGCTTTGTCTTCCTTTTTTTCTGGCAAATTTGATGCCCTTGTTGTCATTAGTTCAAAATTTCATAGAATAATCCCTTAAAGATTCACTCACAGAAAATTATATTCTACTTGCTTTACTTGATAGGTTAGCAAACATTGTTTTTGTAACTCTTGTCATAAAACTATTCTCAACTAATTAAATAAAATAGGAAAATGCATTTTGAAATATAGTTAAAAGTAAATATTGTATTTGTAACAACGAGCCGGAAAAAGGACATATTTTGTGTTCAGAGGATACATTTTGTCAATGCAGGTTTTGCTGTGGTAGCAGTTTTAGAAATTAGAAGTTTACATAACGCCTTATTATTCTGTGTCTTGTCCTTTTTTCTTGGCAATCAAATATTTCTACGATCAGATAGTACTTTGAAAAAATATATGTGCTCTTAAAATTGATACGGATATTAACTGCATTTTGCTACAATTTTCACTTCATTAATTATGTACTGTTGCCACTACATTTTAAGATCTTCCATAAATAAAATTTACCAACAAACATGATATACTATGTTGCTTGAGCGCATTCACTTTAATCACAGTGCAGTACGAAATAGAATTCGCACCAACAATCGAACTATCTTAATAATTTTCTATTCAAAGGTGACAGTTTCCACCAGTTAAGGAATGCATATAACAGATTATATGGTGGAAACATCATTTGTTGATGATCACAGGTTCCTTCTGGGCTCCTCTAACTCCATAATGTCCTTCTAGAAATCGCGCCCATATTTACCAGAATGACGACGAATTTGAAGAGCGCTCACAATCATTTTGCTCTATCTAAAGACTAGGTACAACTTCGCAGAAAATTTAATTTCCAAAACGTACTAGCAGCGCAGAAGCTCTTGTATAGTGAAATTGAAAAGAAAACCCACCATGCGAAGCTATAAGATGCGGACAAATAAAATACCATTCACAACTTACTCATCAATATGTCTACTATTTGCTCTTCAATACACATATACAATTGCAACCCATGAAAACTGACTACAACCTTTCTTCCTAAAACTAATATGCATCAGAATTATCCTTATCAACTTATGCATTTTGCAACATATTATTCATGTAACTCCAAGTATTACACATAATACTTCAGAGTTTCACGTTTCAGTAGCTTCAAAAAAAGAAGCCAATTTATATATATAACCTCGTATTTTGGGAAGTCGTATTCTTTTCTATTCACGAATAGTGGTTTGAACTGCATCAAAATTAGACTAAACACGTACTCTGCGATTTTCAATATTTACACTCCGTGAGTTTTGATATTCATATAACTAATGAATTATTCTTAATGCAGATCTGCAACCATTTTATATAGAGGACTCATCAATAACAAAAGGAAGCATATTAAATGTCCACATAAATGTCATAAGAATGCAAGAAATTCAGAAATACCAGTAACTGAACTCAGACACTCAGAAAGATGTATTTCACTCTTGAATAGGCAGGTAAATGTGTAATCAATTCGTATGCAATATATCATGCAAAATTCTCTACAACTCATATTAATCTGAATACAAAACCTCATTTCATGCAATACACTGCATCGACTTTGTTTATCATAGAATTATCAGTGGCGCCTACACAAACAGTCATATTTTTACAACTCATGGAGGACTTCCCAATCCGTGTTCTTTAATGATCATATACGATACACTATAGAATCCTTCTGAAGAAATACTTCCGCAGTATTTCCTGCAGAAACAAATTTTTTTTGCAGAACGAGAAAGAAGATAGATGACAGCGAAAGTGAAATTGGAAATTGTGACCGCTTTCTAACGAAATAAATGCTGCAATAAATTTTATCTGATTATCTTTTTTCGTCTTAGAACATGAAGCAGACTTTTAAATATGAATAGAAAAATATTTCGATCAAATCGAATCTTGAAGACAGATATTTCGACCAAAAGGACTATTCCTCAACATTAAAAATTAAAAAGAGTAAAAGCGTATTCCCACAAGGACTACGTAAATCATACAAGTAGTAAAAAGGCCTAAAGGGAAAATGTCATAAAACAATCCTCACACCCAAATCAACAATAACAAAACAAGATTACACGGAAACGAAAATGAACGACGCAAAGATTTAAAAATAAACCCTATGACAGTGGAATCCAAAAATGAAATCGAAGAAAGTAATGTATTATACTTGGAAATGCATGTCTGTAGATCAGGAGCAAAAACCAATTAACTGAATGATGGTGAAAGCAAATGCTATTGCAACAATAAATGGTTACACAACATGGCATTTCGGTCCTATCAATAAATCATTAGTTAAAACCCTTTATACAAGCCATGAGAAATATTGTGCATTATAGGTATAAACGATTTACTGAGTTTGATTAGAAAGACAATAGAAATATTTTCAATAGAAAATTAATAAAACAAAATATGAATGTACTGTAAAGAAGGAAGAAAGAGAAAGAAGTCTTTACTGTGAATTTATGTTATTAACAAATACATGAGTTTTTAAAAAAAATGTGCTCATTTCATAGTGAAAAAAACTTTGGTTAGATCAGTCTAATAAAAATTAATGTAATAACAAAACTAAACAATCTGAAGTTTTAGATTGTCGACTTCCAAGGCAATAAATGCAGTGAAACTTTAAGATCAAAGAACTAAGTAACAGTACAAAAAGAAAATTTTTGAGATGAAAATAATGATTCAGATGTCACACGTTGAATAGTACTCAATTTGCTTATGAATCTGGGCTGTTACTGTATCAATCCTCGAATGCAGTTCACTCATTTCAAGACTATAATCCGCTAGACGTACATCAAACGCATCGATATTTGCCGAAAGCTCTATAAAAAGCTTGCTAAAGATTTTATTTTTATTAGTAAAACTTGCGCTTCCTCTACGCTTTTCATCTTTTTTTAAACACTAAAATGAACAATAACTTAATTATTAAAATAAAAACACGTACGTGAAATATCGTTGCGATGTCGTTGTGTCTTATGCAAAAGTTGTGTTGCTCGTTTACGTAACTCTTCAGCTCTTGCTTGAGGTAATTCATTACCAGTATTTCGATGTGACAGGAGTTTTTTGGCATTTTCAAAAGAAATCTAGAAATATTTTTACGCAACATTGTTCTACTCACGTATTCCCGATCATACAGTTGCTTGAATAGCACGAAAGATGGAAAACAGATCAAATTATTTATAAAAGTTGCTGATTCTATGAGATAATGGTATCAGAAACTGATTTAAATGCATAAATTTCTAATTTCTATGTCTAGCAACATTTCATGTTTCACGCAAACTTAGTAGAAATGTGTTACTTTAAGTTTTTCATTAGCTGTTTCAGCATATTCAGCCTGTCGTACAGCTTTATCAGCAGCTTCATATGCATATTTTGTATCTTCAGAAATCGAGAGATATTGTACGTTAATATCTTTCATATCACTATCTAGTTTTGCGAGAGACTGATTTGTCGTCATTGCAGACGTTTCGGCAAGTTCTAACTGTTCAGTAGCACCATTTAAGTCATTTCTAAATAATATGATCCAAAACAAAAACAAAAAAATTGGCCTCATCATAATAAATAACGAATTATGATTCAAAAAAGAACCTAGCTTCCATGATTCGTTTCGTAGCATTTTTTATTGCATCTCTAGCGATATTCTGAGCAATACCAGCTTTCGTCAACGCTTCACGTACTATAGTCGTAACATTTCTGTATCAAAATTAATACATTATCATACCTCAAAATTTTTTACTTAATCTACAACGTCATGAAGTAACCATAATTGATTTAAATATCGAAACATTTGTAATTACCATTAAATAATATACATATACAAGCTTAATCTGGTATTCAATATATAATTATTTACACTTTTCAAGACTTTTGAAGTTGGTCACAATGATTCTTTGATTTATTCTGTTTAGAACAAGTATGTATATACCTGATTTTAGCTGCACGCATACTCGCTAGTTCAGCGGATTTTTGTAAAGCTTCTGCTATCGTTTTGTTACCACGTGTTTCATTCAAAATCACATCGATATTATTGATACTTTGTAGTTTTTCTCGAACCTCAAAGGAAATTTCACTTCAGCCTTTCTGACAAAAGCACACGTTATCCAACCTTTATCATGAGCTGATAACATCAATTTCTCAGTCACCAATCTTTGTTGAGCAATATATTTATAATTTCGGACAAATTTCATGACTATCAGAAACCTGTCTTGAAAGTTTTTCAATTTCAGCAGGTGTGAGAGATATTGTTGCAACGGTTATCTCTTCAGCCAATGCTCGAATTTGTTCTGGACTCGAGCGTTGATTATTATCCATGAAATCATTCATTTTAGCTAACATTTCCTCTAATGAAGTCCGCGTTTGATTTGCCTGCAATGAAATCTGTTGCTGAATTACAATGTGTTTAGAATAATCAAATACTAAAAGGAAATTAATTTAGCTCCCTCAATTCCCATTCCACGGATACATAAATTCCATATAAAGATTAGAGCGTAACCTGTGAAGCTGCTGCATCCGCAATATCATGTCCATCCTTGGCCCTACTCTTGGTGATAGAAGTCTGTTGTAATATATCTCGTACTCGATCAAGAATCTGCGATAAATAAAACGAGTAACAAGATTTCCGGAAAAGTTTTATAAAAAAACTAAATCAACACCGCAGAAAACAACACTAGTTTTTTACCCCAGATTTCTAAGAATGCTTATTTTATTTATAGTAATTTAATGACTTGATACCAGTTATCAACATATTCAAAAGACTACAAGAACCATATGCTTCCCTTACGCTGAATTCGTTGGCAACATAATATTAGTTTTAACATCAGTGGTACCAATAAAGTGAATCAGAATGAATATTTAACTAACTTCCTCAGCTTCCTTCTGCTTTTCATCCAATTTTTGGTCCGCTTCATCTGCAAATTTTTTAGCCATTTCAGCTTTGCTCACTGAACCTGACAGACACGATCGTCCACCACAATGGCCACATAAGCCCGGCCCACCACATAATTCATCACAAGGAGCTGTTTCTGCACCACAAACATCTTTGTTCAGTTTTGGCAGCACAGTTTCGAAGTACGTCAGCTGAACTATCATTCACAGAATTTTGTGAGAAAAAATTTAAATTGAGACAAGAAAAAGAGTGTTAACTTCCTTATCTTTCGATCTGAGTTCAGTATTTTCAGCAACTTCACATAATTTTCTAACACATACCTGCTCGCCGATTTTTACCAATGCCATTCCGTTCTCACTGAACTGTTTTTCAAAATCAAGACGATTATTGTCCAGAAGTTGTACTGCTTCTTGTCTAATACTTTCAGCACTAATAATTTTTAAATCTGCTTCATCAGTGCGTCGCTTTGCAGCAAAAGATTTTTCAGCCGATTCACGTGTAATATTATATGCACCCTTAAAGTACATTGAATGCTGAATAAACAACTGCTTCTGATCTATGCTTCTATAACCCATCAAAATAGTGTTAAATATTGTCTCCATTTTTCATAGTTGAGTGCATCTGAAGTTTGCTTTCAAAGACGTAGAGACTGTGTTCTTAGTGATTGCGACTGCTCCTTTTTCACTAGACAAATTACAAAAAACTAATGGTCTCCTCTTTACCTGTACATCAGCTACTCGCAGTAATGTTGCATTGTCTTGGAACGCTTGGGATTTATGTGCAAGTTTTCCTAAGTCGTCGAGTAATGAATTTAATTCTAGATCACCCTGATCAACATCACTCGAAATTTCAGTAATACGTCCTCCGACACGATTCAAAAAATTCTTTTTCAAAGTGATCTTTAAAAGAAAATGTATAAATAAAGATACTACATATTTACTTCCAGGTTCCATCATTTACGTATTTTATCAAACGAAAGAATGATTTAGATAGAGTAAAAATTTGTAAAATTAAAAAAGTAATAGAACTTGCAAGATAAAATGATAAAGCGCACATTCTCCCGAAGTTCAGAGATTTCATTTTGCAATTCATTGATGTCACTTCGCGTTATATCTGCTGACTCCAACTGTACCTTTAAATGTGCTAAAATTTTTTCCATTTTCTCAAATCTGTCATCATAAATTGAAGCAACGCCTGTATCTTCGACGTTCTTCGCAGCTTCTGAAAATTCAACTTGAGTAGACAGTAAGAGTTATGATTTATTGCAACAGCATGCTTATTCATAACGTCAACAAATTCGCAGCTATCATTTTAGAGACGACACTTGTCAATTGTTTTCGACAATAGTCAGTATATTAACTTGAACGAATTATATAGTACAACTACTTAGTATTTAAAGTCAATAAAGATTTTAAAAAAGATGAGATAAATACGGAAAGGTCTTACCAATTAAACCAGTAACTTGATTTTTTAAATTCTTCACGATTTCATCCCAATTTCGGAAACACTCCCCGCAAGCTTCGCAATGAGGCCACTCACCAGTATATCCACGAGCACACATATTACATAAGGTCCCTAAAAACACAAGGTAACTGAAAGTTCAAAAAATAGCTCAGTAAAACCCATGATTATACTACGATTCACATATAGCGACTTTAAAGAAAACCTGATACTTTTACAGAAGGTAGGTTTGTCAAAAATCATGAATCATTTAACCTCCTGATCCCGGTAAACAAACACAAGAACCATTGCTACGATCGCACTGTTGGGTAGCTGATCCAATTCTATCACATTCACATTTGCGGCAGTCATCTGTTGTCGGATCTCCCCAGTGATAATTCTCACAATCGGAACTGTAAAAATTGCCCTAACTGATGATATTTCAATGAAAAGATTAAACCTCATCTTACCACGTACGACCTCCCCGTCCTGGTTTACAGTAGCATAGCCCATCCAACTCATTGCATTGTAACTCCGGTATTCCATCATTGCTGAGAATGACACCTGTAGGGTCACATCCACATGGTTCGCATCCTTTTCCTATAAAGTCCAAAGTATTTGAAAAACATCTAACAAAAAATTTTTCAGTAAATGATAAAAATTTGGTATATTTACCACTAGCTAAATCAAAATGATGTGGAGCACAAGCATCACATTCTTTCCCCACAACATTTGACAAACAAGGGCATTGTCCAGTGGCCCGATTGCAAGCTCCTACTGTTTTGTTTGTTCCTAATTCGTTACATACACATCTAAGCAAACAGCTTTGCATTAAATTCATGAGTATGACAATGAAGTAATGTAAAAATAATACTAAGACTCTTAATTAGAATCTAATAGATTCTTTTAATATATGACCAGCACCTTTTTTAAATTTTCAAAAAGCCGAATCTGTAGCCAAGAATTTGAACTACATTTGACTTTTCTTAGTTTATGTATTGCGACCAAACTATAGGAATAACACAAATGATAATTTCGAATTTTAAGAAAATCATCTCTTACCTCTGACAGCTTCGTATTTTTGCATCTCCGTAATAACCCTCAATGCAGTATTCACACTGAACACCTTCTGTGTTGTGAAGGCATTTAATACAGTCACCAGAAACTGCGTCGCAACTTCCTTCTATAGTTACATCAATGTTCCCGTTACAATCACACGGCTCACAGGTCCCACCTAACTCATTTGGATTGCCCCAATGATTTAAAGCACAAGAAGAGCATCGTTCACCGGTATAACCCTCTCTAAAACAGATCAAAGATAACTGTGTAAATCCTAATTCTGAATTTACAAGTAGCATGAGTTACAACTATAGAAAATTTGTGACAAATAATTATACCTGCAATTGCACACTACATCAGGGGTCTCAGAATATTCACTTGTGCGAAGATAACAAGTATCTGCATGTTGAAAACCACTACCTAAACCACCGGGACAAGGACAAGGCTTGCAAGGTAAATTAATGCCAAGACGAGGATCGCCATAATAACCATCCTGAAAGAATCCACGTTTATTTATTTATATACTTATCTACCTATCTCGATGTCTATATACATATATATATTTTATATATCTAGACAACAAATATACTGTTTGAATTATCCGCTGTTAAGATTGGAGATCACAACTGCAACTGGGAACTTTTAGGATGGGTAAATAACAAAAATTGATACACAAATCTTCGTTCAAGCATTATGTATAATAGGCTTTGAGAAGCTTTAATCCCATGGTAAGCACACAGTTTTTACCTTGCAGCGATCACAATAGTAACCATCAGTAAGATCACGACATTCAATACAAGCCCCACTTTTTTGATCACAAACGGAAGCATGATCATTACACTGACATACTCGGCAGTCAGGAAATGACCAAAACCCCGGCTGACATTGATTGCACTGTCTAAAAATAAAGGAAATTTTCTGATACTCAGATTTGAAACAAGAGATATAATTATACTTAGCAACCACACTTCTTTACAATCAAAAATTATTGCCTCATCGACATCGAAAAATTGCAGTAAAACTCTTGGTTAAACATAAATTGAAGTTAACTTTTCTAGGCAGTCAAACCATTAGCACTTACAGACAACACTTTGAAAAATTTAGAAATATTAATTACTGGTTTTAAAAAAGAAGTAGAAAGCTTTTGTATTAAAATGCTAATAGAAATGTTTAATATATCACCTTCCTGTGATTCCACGCTCCTTGCAATTACACTGACCACTTTGAGGATCACAATTATTATTGAGTGCGCCAACACTGTCACATTCACAAGGTGCACAACCAGATGGACCAAAACCATATGTTCCTACTGCGCATTTATCACATCTAAACACACACTATATCAAATCGGAATTGACTTAAGCGAATATCATTAAAAATAGACTTGCTTAAAAAGCAGAAATATTAGAAACGTGACTTCACTAATACCATGAAACTCAGGAGCTCAATAAGTGTGGACTCCAATTCACAGACGTGTAGATAGCTATAACTAATCACTTTTGTGGCTTTCGTAAACCACTCCACATAAGCTTATGACAGATGTAAAAATATGGAGGACCTCTGTATGCTACCGAAATATTTTTTGAACAGTTAAATGATTATGCTAGCAGAAATAACAAACATATTCTGGACCAACTTTTAAAAAAAAAATCCAGTGAACTGCAATCACTTTCACATATAAATTAACGAATATTCAAAAAATATTAAACTTCGAGGTATATAAGAATAGTTAGTTAACGCGGAAATATGAAAATAAATCAAAATAACCTTCGTCCAACAACATTCGGCTTGCAATCACATTGACCCCCTTTAGCTGCGCATATCCCAGAAAGTGAACCGGTCGGGTCACATTCACACACTAAGCTACGATTGAAAAGCATAGCTGCAATGGGACAAATGTAGCCAACACATACATCAGATAAATCCGTCATTGGTGTTAATGATAAATGTTGTTCCCTGCACTGGTAGCGATCATACTCTATTCTGGAATCAAATTTAAGTAAAAATGCAGAAATTTCAAAATAAAAAAGCAAACTCCATAACAAAATTCTTAAAAGACAAGTAAGATCTGTAATTAAGATAGAAATATCCTTTATAAAAGTGTACTTATGATTACCTGTGATGATCATCAGCTGCAATTCCTTGTGAAATAAAAAGTTCTTCGGTAGGGGGAATAAGAACTATAGAATCAATAAGAACAGCAGCCGTTCTATCAGTTATTCCGCTTCGTTTTTCGCCTATTTGCATACGTATTTCGTAAGAGACTCCTTCTTCCAAACAAACGTCGGGCATAATCTAGACAAAAAGTTATGAAATATTTACAACACCAACTTAGAAAATAGTAAATAATAAGATTTGACTACACTAATATCCAAATGTATACCTCAACATAATGGGCATGCGGGTGAAGTTTTCCGATCAAAAAATCATCGGAGGGTGTGAGATTTTTACAAACTCCATACAGTGATGGATCTGTTGGCCGTACAACTGTTAATTGTATATTTTCCCAACCAATATGATTCTAAAAAAATAATTATACCACATATCCCATAAATAGATGGTACAAATGATCACGATTCTAAAACTCACTTGCAACAATTCATATCTAATAACAACTCTATAATGCATGCTTTGTGCAATGTTTCCAGTTTTGAATGTTATCTGAGTCTTTTCAGTAGCCCTTACAAAGCCATCACCTGTCCATGTTCTATCTCTTTCACTAGATAGACGCTCTCTAAATTCCATGTGTCCCTAAAATTATGAAGTTATAACACGAATTGATTAAAGCATTAGTAAATACCGTAAACCTGAACTATCAACTACAAAAACGTGAAGGTTTAAGGTAGTTTTTTTTTTTCAATTGTTACATGCTTCAAAGAAGAAATTATAGCGAAAATTTTTTTAAAAGAAAAGGTAATACTATACTAACATTAATAATTTCAGCTTCTTCTGCTTCAAATGTAAAGTGATCAATAGATGGACAGTAGTAACCACTTTCGGCAGCATCGCAACGACGACCACTAAAATTTTCTCGACAAATGCACTGCCCGGTGATAATATCACAGTTGTTATGAATAGAACCACCTATGTCACAATGGCATGGCTTACAGCCATCCGGGTCATCGCTTAGACCATAATGTTCGGGCTGAAAATATTTTTCGTACATTTTTTTTAATTACTTCCTTTGACTAAAATTCAAACACATTTTGGTAGAATAATAAAATCGATGCATTTCAGTACCAAGTTCAGGAATTAATGAATGGCTAGAAAAAATATAACTAACTAAACACATATCGCAAGCACTGCCAGTAACTAGCCGTTTGCAAAGGCATTCACCGGTTTCTTTATTGCATCCCTCATTATTGAATGAGCCGAGTAAATTGCAACTGCATGGACGACAACCATTTGGATCTTCTTCTGTCAATTTCCAGAATCCATTTTTGCAGCGTTCACACCTGAAAATAAAGTATGATACAATATAATTTAAAGTGCAAAAACGGAAAATGAAGAACACTGTTAAAATAAATTATACTGACTTTTTTTTATCTAATAGGATACGCAACATGAAAGCTACATCTATTCTACTAGAGTTTTAATTATTTACGTTTTGTACTAGTAGATTTCAAAATCTCTTAAAAATCATAAATTAAGAATGGAAACTGACCAGGATCCTTCAACGTTCGGTTTGCAATAGCATTTGCCTGCAACAAGACCACGTTCAAAATCTTCTTCGCCTTCGCAAATTCCATCGTTTAAAGAGCCAATCTGTGGGTAACATGTTTCACTCGTTTCAAAGTTTAAGCAATCAATTCCATCAGACATTTCACAATTTTTTTCCTTATGTTGTAAGTTTTCAATGTAAATATTTTAGCTATAATACTATTAAATATATTCCATATTAAAAACCGAATGACGCTCAGCTTTGCAGATGATCATATTTGTATTCGATATTCTAATAATGAAGGAGCAAATGAGCAATAATTTTTCCATAATTATCAGTATAAAGCTAATCCGCTAATGAATAGTGTTTACTAATGACTATTATAAATTTAGATTTCATTATACACATACACAATAAATTATATCCTTTTAGGAATTTCGAATGGCAATCTTCTTATATTATATTAAGGATAAAAAAGCTGAATAAACAACAAACCTTATTACATTTACATGGTAAGCAAACATATGGATCAGTAATTGGTCTGTCTGGATTGCGGTAAAAATATGGTTTGCACTGTTCGCAGTTTTTACCTTGCGTATTATGTATACATTCATCACACACTCCTCCAGACACAAAACCTACAAAAAATATTTTCAACTCATTTGGAATTATATGCCTAAGCACGAGATTAGAACCAGGCTTATAAAAGCTAGAATAATAAATTTTTTGTAACTAATTCTTTTCATTAATTATGAGCCTCGAATACCTTGTTGGAAGAATATTTTATTACGGCAAAAAGCAGAACGACTATTAAAATATAAATTCCAAAATTTTAGTCTAAATCGATAATTCACCAGAAGCTTGATAAACAGCACGATCAAAATGACATCTAGCTGCATGACCATTGCATTCACATCGTTTACACTCATTTGGATCATCACCAATCGCTGGACGCCATGGCAAATCATTAAAAAAATCCATGCACTGTTCACAGTTTAATCCTTTTGTATTATGAGTGCATTCACATCGTCCATGAACCTATTAATAACAAAAAACAATACACTTCTCAATTTTTAGCAGTAACAGTAATGTTCAGAAGTATTTGTAAATAAGAATTCTGTATATACACTGTAAATATTTTTATCACAAATGAGAATCCGTACCATATCAGCTCGATAGGGAACTGAAATCCTAGCAGAACCATCCATCGGGATACACCGCTGGGCATGTCCATAGCATGAACACGATCCACGAACCACAATTTCATAGATAGCATAATAATATTTTTCATCAATTTCGGGTCTGAAATTTGACAAAGAAATTGAATGGCATCATGTCAAGTATCAATTACCAGATTTTGTGCTCAATGATGAAAAAATGTATTACAAAAACTGCTATCTAGAAACATTTTTAAGTAAATTTGCTTTCCAATTAGTCAATCTGATAAATCATATGTCCAATGCAGATATTAGCAAAATGACAATTTTGTTAAAAAAGTGGTAATGATATTATCATTCGCAAGACATGCCTGGTGTAGAATATAAAATGATTGAAATCAAAAAGGTACCTGTAGTCTAGTAAATCATCTCCAAGTGTATGAAGTTTAGTGAAATTTATGCGAATATTCGTGACTTTTAACAAGTTAGCAATTTCATCAGCATATGGATTTTCTGTTGGAATATGTGGTGAAATTACTTTATAAACCAACTGAAATTTCTATGTAATTAAGGGCAAAAAAACTTCCTAAATTGAAAGTCTCAATTTATTGGTAAATGTATGAACATGTGTTCAATAGTCACACAAAAATAATAATGGCGACTTTTTTCCCTTATGAACCGGTCAAGAAGAGTTCTATTTACTGACTTCCCCTCCCGTGGATGGTGCTACATCGCTGTATCGTCTCGTGCAAATGATATCTGTATGCTTTTTTGGTGGTCCTTCTGGGATATTCGGAAATGTATTTTGACAGTCATATGCAAAATATCGATATGGAGACCTGAAATTCTATCACTATAAGTATTATATAAAAAATTTTCCTCGTATTTTTCTTTATTAACGAGTAATAAAACTCATGTTTAATTTAGTTTTACAACTGCCCACTCATTCTTTTGCAACTGAAAAAAAAAAAGCCAACATACTACACTAATAAAATACTGGAGTAAATATAAACAATGAAATCAAACAAAAACGCCAACCATGTTTTTGCATAATCAGCAGAACGCTCGATGATCATCGCAGCAGGACGAAACGATTTGAACGTCATTATAAGATGAGTAAAATGAAATTCAGCTTCAAGATCAAGTCGTATTGACACATTCTGCACTCCATTTTCTGATTGCCACCAATTTCTGTGGCGATCCTCGTATGATTCCGAAACCACATTCTCTATTCTCAAATTTTATTTCATACAGATAACTTGAAGTTTCATGATAAAGTACAAGTATACACACAAAATTTTTTGTTCTGGTTAAACTTTTCCGAAATTATGGGAAAAGTTAAAGACAAACAAGAAATATTAAGTGCATAGAAGTGTACACACCTGTGACTCAATTTGTATGGTTCTCGATTGGGTTGCCATTCCGTTCTACTATCACAATAAAAACACTTGGTTTGTTCTTCCAGATGTGATACAATGCAATAACGTTGACGACCATGTAAACCACACGTCGATGTTGCTGTGAGACTTTTCTTTCGTCCAATTAAAAGATTCCCAGTTGCTGGATAGCATGAACGTTCATTACAAACATCTTCTTCTGTTGATTCTAAATTAAAAAAACTGATTCAATGATTTTCAACTCTTTTTTTCAAAGCATCAATGATATCATTACTTTACTTGAAAAATGTTGTTATCAAATTTCACTTCTCTTATAAGTTATTCCTTTTTCGCCTGATGGACTAACATTTTAAAGAGATTACTGTATTCATGAAAGAACTTGATCTTGAAACAAAAGACTTGATGTCCTGACTACCAGAGAAGATAACAGACTGACCATATTCGAAAGAAGGTACAAGAAGGAAAACAGTAATAAGAGAAACGTATTGCGCAGTTGATTCAGAAAAGAGCATACCAAAGCGAGCAAGGGTGAATCCAAGAGTGAATCCTTTAAAAATTACAAAAATTGAAGAGAGAAAAGTACACAACATGATAATAGCTGACGAACACTTCGTCTCAGCTGTTTTTGTATGCAAACTAAACTTATAATTTCATACAATTAATTGGTTTTCCGAAAATAAGCTGAACTTCATTGAAAACCATTATTTCATTACATCAAGCTTACCCCTTCAGAATAGAAAATAAGAAATCACGATTTTACTGAACGCAGCAATCACCCATAACGAACAATGCTTGAAGCAAAAGATGGTGAGATAGAAAGATTTTCATGTCGTTCCTGTCACCGCAAAAATGACCTTTAATTCATATCGCAGGCATTGGTCGTCGAGGTTTACTTGTTCTAGAACAAGTTTCAGGTGGCGATGTCATGGAGAAGCCTTAGTATTGATTAAAGACTAAGTATTCTTTCAAATTATGAGAGTTAAAGAAGTGCCAGTTGCTACCTTTGTTTGTTATAATAAAGTAACTCGTCGTCAAAGTGCCTATTCACTGGTTAAATCGGTATCTAATTTATACATCATTCATTTTATAATCATTATGTCAACAAGTCACGTGGAACAAGTGATAAATTCTTAACAGAAGATTGTGTTGCCATAAGTTTCTTTACAATAACCAGCGAATTGTCATTAGGTGCAAAAAAAGGACGATATGAAAACATTCATCCTACCGCGTTTGTAATTAAAGAGCAAAGAATAAAAATTATGCATTGTCACATTTTATGAATTGCATACATTATATTCAGTCGTATTTGATTTTGATGCCTAATGGTTTCCAGTATCTGTTGTTTAAATGTTTATTTTTCAAAAAAAATATTGATGTAAATGTCATTTTTTTACAAGGTTTTATGCCAATTTTTTCATCATGGCTTTGGCTAAGAATAATTTCTCTTCCAAGAAAATTAATTGCTCGGTTAGTTCTTTAAAATATTATTTCATTTCATGTAAGTATTAATAAAAGCATGGTTTTTAATGTTCATTGCTTCTTGTCAAGATAGGAAAAGCAACCTGGCAGAAATTTCTCATTATTTGATAGAATGTGATTACTGCAGCAAGCGAGTCTTTTTTTTGCAGAAGAAATCAGTTGAAGCGAATTCATTAATGAAAGATGATTTAGACGATGCTGAAGAATTGGTTTTCGATTTTGAAGCATATCCCATGTGCAATGCAGACAAAGAAGGCCTTGTAAATCTGTTAACTCAGGCATTTATTATTATATTTTTTGCATCTAAAGTTTTTTTGGCACGAATAAATTTTGAGTTAGATTTGGATTATGCATAATTTATTAAAATTTTGTTTTCTGTGCCACACTAATGACTTTTATTTGCGTTTTTTTATCAACGTTTTTAGTTGGCATAATTTCTTCTCCTGTCTGCTACCGAAGAAGTCACCACTCAAAAAGAAGCGAATAAAATGTATTATCTAATACTATTAGTTTCAGATATTCCTTCGGGCAGATGTAGATGTTATTCGAATGGCTGATATTTTGGTTGAGCAATCTCCATTTGGTTGTGTTTATAGAGTTACGTCTTTGTTGTTTGATTGTGAACATCTGAATTTCCCTCTTATCGTTAATTTATTAATTGAATTTAATTTATTGCTGTTAGGAACATTAATTTGCCTTTTTTGATGTACACTGAAGATAGACGTATTAAAATTCGGAGAACATTTGCAGCCTGCAGAAGAGTTTATCGATGACGATGATGAAGGTGTTGTATACGGTCTTTTATCTATGTTGAGTCTGAAAGAAAATCAGGTTTTCATTCTCTTTTTTAATCTCTGAATATCTTTCTTAAATTTATTAGTATTAGTAAAAAAAGTCATTTTGACATATCATTATAGCTTTTTATAAATAACTGAATCTTTGGATTGCAGAAATTTGTTGCCGATATTTGGTCGCTATTAAAGACAAAAGCTCAAAAATATGCTATTGATAAAAAAATATTGTCTTTGCTAGATAATTTGTCAGCACTAAATTCGACGAATTCTGTTGGTCTTTTGATAAACGAAAGATTGCTCCATTTTCCTACAGCCATTGCTTCCCCTGCCTTCAAATCATTAGCGTATGTTGCATTTTTATTTTGAGTTGGTGGTGGTTGAATCGATTTTTCCTTACTCTCGCTTTACTATATTAGAGTGTTATTATTTGCTTAATCCATTCATTTAATTTTTTTACATCATAAGCAAACGTATATTGAAAAGAATTCTGCAGTTATGTTGCCTTATTGTTAAGTTACTTTGAGACAGAAAATAAATCGCGAAGTATGCATGTTACATCTGTTTCGTTTATTGAGAAAAAAATGTCTTTACTGTTTTTTCAGTGAGATCTATTATATAAAGTATAAAAGCAATGATAGGAGTTAGGAGATGCCTTTCAAATTTTCTGCGCTCACATATTAAATTTGTTTTATTTATCATTTATCTTTGTTTGCTTAGTCTTATAGTCATACTTCTAAATAACATGCAGCACCATCTGAAATGCCAGTCTCGTGTTTCAAAAACTTATAGAATCTTGAAATATGGGTTTTTCATTTTCATTACGAACAAAATGATGTAGCGCATAAGCATTTGTAACGAATAGCAATTCCGACATTATAATTTTCAGCGACGACCTAAAAAATTATGGCTCTCAGTACTCCTTTTCTTATGTCGTATTATTTCTAAAAATTCGAGTAGCTGATAATGGGAATGCTAAAGAATTCACTAACTCAGATTCTTCAAATGAATCTAGAAAGAGAAAAAAATTAACCAAAGCACAGAAGAAACTCATTGCAGCGAATGCGATTGCTGATGCTGACATCGTTTTTGATAATCGTGAGGAGGAACTTTTGTTTCAGGTAATAACTTTGATATCAGCGTATCTGAGGTTGTACTATGTACATTGTGCTTACTTCCTTTTTTTTAAATTGAGCTTTAATAATTTCAGTGTGATTTGAAGTTCGATTATTTTCAATATCCGGTTCAGTCAGATGTGGAAAAGGATTCAAAATTTAATTCGATAATATTGAAAGGTGTCCTTTTTCGACCATACCGGCGTGTTTGCTTTCTAGAGAACAGCACATTTCGTCGATATGTTGAAATTGTTAGTTCAGCAGATTTTGGTTAATTCCTTCGATGTGTCCGAAAACTGAGTTTTTTTTCATTGGTTCATTGATATGAATTATTGTTTTTGTGCAAAGACTTTTTGTTTTAACTAGTCCAAAAAAAAAAATTATTTATCACCAAATCGTTAATTGATTGTAATGAAATAAAACGTTTCGTCATTTGTTTCCCAATAACTCATAAATGTAGAACACATTGTCATGTATTTCCATTATCTTCAAAATTACATGGAAAACAATAAATATCCTAGGCTGTTAGAGCATTTTCATTTTGTCCCTTTACATAAAAGTAATAAGGTTGTCAAGTATTTCTAACTAGAGTTTCTTACCAGAATTTCCAGAGTATTCCTAACTGGAGTTTGTACATTTTTCACTGTTTGTTTGATTAATTTCTTACTGGTGGCAATATTAGTTTACTAGTTTGAGTTTTATATAGAGGCGCTTTTTCAATTCATTTTTGGAGGCTCATAAAAGTCGCTTGATTGCATACTTTTGTTTGGATTTTACAATAGTAAGTGGATTCAATGTCTATTGACTAGATTTCCGAAAGTTCTAAAATCATTATTAATTCGCGACTGAACTATAGTACTGCATATTCATAAATTTATATTTGAAAAAGGTGTATCAAGACACCCATTACTGAAAGTCTAAGCAGTCTTCAACTTGAGTATCTTCAATTAGATAATTTTTTTTGATGATGAGCTTGTTAGTCGTATATGTTTTGGTGGGAATGATTTTTAGAAGAATTGCAGAGAGAAGTAAGATATTAAAGCTTATCAGTTGTCAGAACTTAGTCCTCTATCGGACTGATGCGTTTTATAAAGCTGGATACGGTGTTTAAATGATATTAGTAACTAGCAGCTGTACCTTCTTCATAGGTTGTGCTCAACTAGTCTGCCATTTCTATTTTTGTAAGTTAAACAGTTCAGATACTGAATGCTCAATTTTTGTTGTCTTGCATTCTGCTTTGCTAATTTGAAAGTTGAATAATGATGAGAACCCATAAGATTAACCATTCTTATTAAAGTATCGTTTAATACCAGTTTTGTTACAGTTAGTCATTCCGAAGGATAAAGCGAAAATGAGATTCAGTTAAGGAGCTATGAGAGATCTTAATACCTTTAATTTCTTTACGCTTCTACATGTCCTAGTTAGTTGCTTTTATTGCAGTCCGTATCTCCCAGCAATTTTAATTTCTAGTTTTCATCAGAAATTGACTCTTGTAATAGCTAGGTTCATTACAAACGTGCTTTTATAGACATATTTCATGCAATAGAGGGTAAGTTTTAGGAAAGGGATTTTCATCCGGTGTACCAAATGAAGTTTTTAATATATCCATTTTTTAATTGTAATGATCAACACGTATTGAGTTATCGAGATTATTTCGTGTGAAAGTAATGAAAGATATGCTTGTTAATATGCCATTTGTCAAAAATTTTCCACAAATGGAAGCCGTGTTGGGGTTTTCTTTTTTTCGTTGTGATAATTAGAGGAATAAATGACTTTCAGTAAGTGCACTTAATCCAGTTAACTTTATCAGAGCACTGCTAACACCGAGTCCTGATGCGAGGTTAAAATCTTCAACTCTCTTCTGATCATTAATTTTCATAAGTTATTTCTTTCCTGCTATACTCACTACTTGCTATTAGCCTTTATTCATTATGGTCGATGCGTGCAAAACATATCAAAACAGCTGTATTCCTCACAAAGATTCTTATATGTGATGTGTCAAATAATTCATGCGAGATTAATCCCGGAGTTTATAAATATCATCTATCTTCCTGTATGTGTGAATTGAGACTTGTCTATGCGATCTTGTCGCTCATGCTAAGTAGAATCACCACCGGCACATCTGCATCAGTGTGAACTGACCATTCTTTGAACTACGATCTCTGCTCTTAGCTAAGCTGATAACATTACATATGATCGACAACTTTATGAATATAATTAACTGTTATTAGCCTAGCTGAGGGCGGGTATCGTAGCTTTTAAAAAAAGTGTAGACAAAGAAAGATTGTTCGAAAGACAAAAAGCGAAGGTCATGATTATGAAGAGCATTTGGTTAGTTTCAACTGACCAAAGACCGACTACCCCTAGACACTCTTTTGACTTATCAATCTTTAAGACCAAGACGTTACTAATCCGAATCTCAAGGTGCAAGTAACCATTGACTTTACTGAAAAAAGCCTCTGTTACATTTACATTATGCTTCTATTATTTTATATTTTCTTATATTCATAGAATACTCTAGTTGTATTCAGCAATATGAAGTCACAAGTGCAAACTTCAACTCTGTGTTCTACGATACACACACCTGAGATGTACTGTTAAAATGTTATCACTTAATAGTGAAAACCTAACACCTAAACACAAAGAAAGCAGTTTGTCAATCACAATATTGCAATGGGATGATATAACTATGCTTCAAATTCATGACTTTGTACCATCGTTCTTTATGAACACTGTAACGGACTTTTAATTGCACAAATTTGAACTATTTCATGGGACAACCGAGTCTTAATGGCTTAAAGCAAGACATTATGGTTGTGTGTCGTTGCACTGAACGATGCTTGAAAAGACATATGCTTGCGACGCAATGGCATACAACTAAGAGAATAATACTGGGGACAAAAGCTGCTTACTCGTTGCTTACTCGCAACCAGCATATGTATTGAAAGCTTAATATGCTGAGTTCATGCACTGGTGGCGTAATGAAGTATTACAGAGGCAATTGTTCATGTTCGCATGGATATTTTAGATTCGGTAGCGAAAAAAGTCCAACTATTGATTGCATTCTTCCATTAATGGGTATGAATATTAACTTACAAATCCTATGCAACCGGAAAACCAAATGTTCCACACACATATTTGAAAAGTATATACATACCCCTCTAATCAAATGTATAAATATGTACAGGAATTATGCTGAGAGAGTCCTCCAAGAACTGAAGAAGCAAGCGAATTCTTTGATCATCAGTATTGCAGATCGTCCATGCCCACAGAAACGGTTCTCAGAAGCGTCCACGAAAGGTGCCAAACCACAAGAAACATTATGAACGAGATGTGTGGTACGCGTCAAGCAGTTAGATGTTGCCATGAGAAAGCTGTTTGCAGACAATCAATTAGGAACTGCTACTCAGGTTTAAGGTGCGAAAGAACAACAAATGTTGAACCTGGCGGTTTGGAGAGAGTACGGAAACTAGCTTTATACTTCATGCATGACATCAAAAAAGCGTTCGATTCAATTAATCATGGATACCTGATTAAGTGCATTGAGAGGCTTAACATTCCAGCAGTTTCTGAGAAGCAACACATTCAGATGAGCAGTCGTACTGAAAAACAATGGAAAGCCCTAAAGAAGAAAATAGAACGAGGAATCCTCAAGTTGATTGTCTTTCTCCGCTGCTATTCATCTTGTGCATGAACCCGTTGTAACATCGAGGTATGCGCTGGTAAGGCGGCGCTATTGGAAGGAATTCAAGAGTACAAATACCTTGGAATAGTGGAAGACAGGACTAGTGCACCTACCCGTGAAAGCTACGATAAAGTCCGGGCAGAGATTTTAGTGAGAACTGAGCGGTTAGCCAAAACTGCACTAAATGGCAAAACTTTATCAAGGCTGTGAAAGAGCACACCATAATAAATTATTGCATTGGGTTGCTTAAGCTGGAGCCAGAAGACTGTAAAGGTACAGACCACGATATCAGACAGTTGCTAAACAAATACGTAATTAAGAACCAACCTGCATGCCTGGAAAGACTGCACCTGCCAAGAGTCGAGCTAGGACGTGAACTTCATAATGTTGAACAGAAAGGTGAGCATATGCTCCTCTAAATACATAATGTTCTTGTAGATTCTGTGCCCATATTAACCAGAAGGGAAGGGATTTTGAAGCAGAAGAAAGCTCATAGCACGTTCTTGGCAATTATTGTGCGCTATCTAAATACCAAGTACAACCTCACAGAAAATCT